CGTAAAACAAATCGTATATCGGTAAATGTTTTTCGGTTTATTACTTCTCAAGGCCGTAGCAGTCGGGGGGAGGGGGGGGACTGGGGAGCAGCCCTTACAATAATTTGCTGATAATCATTCTTTTTTCAAATCATGCACACCTTTATCATTTAAATAATATACCTTTAAAATACTGACAATAGACTAGAGGTGTGCATCGGATCGGATTGGACGTTTATAATCCGACAATTGCCTAATGTTTAAAATCCGATCCGAAATTGTCTAATCCGAATCCGATCCGAGTTTTGAAAAAGAATTCCAATCCGATCCGATGAATTCTTTAATAAAATAAATTTCTCATTCAAGTTGAAATATTTAACCAAATAAATATAAAAGCAAGAAATACATGTCAAGAGGCTGACAAAGTTCATGACGTCCAATTGAAGTATCAAACGAATAATGCAGCGAAAACCGCGATGATACTTTGATAAATGTATGGATAATTAATTCTTGCGATAATGCATGGATAATTAATTCATTTTATTTCGAATATCGAAGCCCGATCCGACTACGAAACAACTTTATCAATCCGATCCGAAATTTACATTTTGGTTCCGAAATCCGAACGAATCCGATCCGATTCGGATCGGATTTGCACACCTCTACAATAGACCTTAATTTCCCCATTTGAGTGAAATTTTGATCTAGACAAGCCTGGACAAGAGCATCACAAAATTAGTAATATTCCGAAGTTTCGTTGCGAAATGTTGTAAAATGCGGATAATATAGCCTTGCGAAGTTTGCCGTTTTTCAGTCATTTTGCATTACAAACGGGAAATTGATAATCAGATGATCAAACTGATTATCAATTTCCCATTTGTAATACAATGACTGAAAAACGGCAAACTTCGCAAGGCTATATTATCCGCATTTTAGAACATTTCGCAACGAAACTTCGGAATATTACTAATTTTTGATGTGATGAAATTTTTGTTTAGGCTTGTCTAGATATATATATATATATATATATATATATATATATATATATATATATATATATATATATATATATATATATATATATACAGTGTTGTAACGAGTCACCTACAGGTCGAGTCACGAGTCGAGTCGAGTCACTCGAAGGTCGAGTCACGAGTCGAGTCATTTCAGTTTTTGATCGAGTCGAGTCAGTGGCTTCACTCGAGTCGAGTCGAGTCAGCGGCTTCACTCGAGTCAAGTCGAGTCACTGATTTAAGTCGAGTCGAGTCAATTTCTAGACTTTACTTGAGCTACCCTAGCTTGCTGTCGGAAATTAGTAATCAAATTTGGGTTTTAAACTAATTACTTTAGTCATTTAAATTAATAACAGTATCTGGGCAGCTATAGGCTGTGCCAATATCACAGTTCCAGTCAACCACGTGAGATGTCTCATCATACCTGCTGATCGAGTGTACGTACATACAACTAGCAAAACTTGCAACTGGAGTCAGAATTAACAAAGAATAGACTTTAATTAACAACACTTTGTAAGTTGATTTGAAATTATATAGCCCTTCATAAATACCAAAAATGAAAATAGCCTGTCAGAATTAGTATAAGTACAAAATATTTTGAGACTTAATTTTAAAAAACTGTGGCACTAGCGTTGTTTCTAAAAACAGAAATGTAATATAGGTATGCCCGTCAGGAATATATTCTATGCAAATCCCATATATTTTCTGATAAAGTTTCAAAGTTCTCATTGTTTACAGGGCTCATTGTTCTTCCCAAGCAATACAATCACAATAATTGTGATGAATTTACTCTGTACAAGTTGTAGATGAGTTGACTCGAGTCATTTACGGCAAAATCAGCAAGTCGAGTCCGAGTCGAGTCATTTGGGGCTGTTGACTCGAGTCGAGTCGAGTCATTTTTCGTATTGGACTCGAGTCGAGTCGAGTCGCTGAAAATAGCGACTCGAGTTGACTCGAGTCAGAGTCAATGACTCGACTCGTTACAACACTGCTTACCAGATGAGGATAAGTTTCCATGTTGATAGATAACTTTGGAATAATATCACAAGTAGAATGGTGAAAACAAGACAGCCAATTCAAGATAAAATCAAGATATTTTTGAAGCCAAAATATGGCAAAGAATAACACGAGTACACGACTTACACGAGGCCAAACTACGCCCGTTCGCAGGTTAGGTGCGCGCACGATGTAAACATTGAACTATAAATAACAAACTATTATTATATTATTAACTATTATTAGTAGTTATTTATAGTTCAATGGATGTAAACAATTGATGTAAGCTAATATTATTGGCTTAATTATACAAGCTCGTCGCTGAATGGCTATGGGTATAAACGTTAATACAAATGTGCTTCGCAGATACAAAAATAAAGATATACACCGGCACTGTATTGATATATGTTCATACCTGGAAGTTTTTTTCATTATAAAAGTGTATTTTCCCAATTTAGAAATTGGGTGGGTGGGTCATGAAATAAAATTGGTAAGATTGGATGGGCTTTGAAATTTTTATCTACATCCTAAGATGGGTCACCAAACTTATTGGCAAAATTTGTGATTTACCTCCAGCCCACCCTAGCAGTTACTTTATGACCAGTCCCTAAGCTCTAAGAATATTTCAGTTAGCAGCTTCTAACAAAAAATGCAATCAGCGTGTAAGTTTTGAAAAGTTGGCCAGTCGTCTAAACTGATTTATTCATCATCCAGGGGATTATTCTTCTAAATTGGCCGGAAGGACGCGAATGGAATTATGTTCCAAAATATTTTTTTTAAAATCCGTCGAAGACCGCATCAACGTAGCCAGCGTGCATTCGCAGACTCCCAAGGGACGTAAGACTCCTGTTGTCTGAGAGTGGCCGCGGGCTAACAACAACGCTGTTTAATTTAAAACGAAAGTCCAAATTATATTTTGGATTTTCTATGTGGAACTAAAGTAGAAAAAATCCCTGAACGGGGGCCTATCTGCGGGTATATGCACGGAATGAAAACAAAAATAAGAGTATTAAATTTAAGTGTTGAACAAAACCACCAAAATAGAATTGTATAATTGAAGTTAAACAATTATTTTAATTTAGAACCTTTGATGTTTTACTCTTAAATTTTGTATTTTTCAATACAAACTAACTGTGAAGTCACAAGATTTTGAAATTTTCACCTAAAATTAGAATATGATCCATGGCTGCTGAATTGCACTCCTGCTGACTGATTAGAATAGAGTCAAGCAGGTGTAAATCTTTAACAATTCTCTACTATGCTAAATAGTTCTATCATGCTGGGTTGTCAGTCGTATTTTCACAATTGCGTAAAACGTGACTGCATTGAAGTAAAACAGGTGTAACTGTTAACAATTCTAAACCCTGAAAAATATTTCTATCACGTTGGGCGGACATTTATTTGTTGAGGCTTTATAAAGTCCGTGAGTTTTATATATTTTTTCATCCGAAGAAAAGAAGAAGACAGTTTCGTTTGAGAAGAAGACGGTATTGCGCCAAAGGCTCATAGTCAAGCTAACATATAGTATTTACAAAGGTAATATTTTAATTCCTGTAATACTAGAAAGACATGCGTGCAGAAACCCTGATCTTGCTAACAAAACCATTATATTTAACGAACATGAAGCTTTTCAAAGTAGTCTAAAAATAATCCTCTAAAAAGATAAATTTTAATTACAAAATTGTCAATTTTTCAAACGTATATATGTTGTAGTATACGTAATATAAGCTTCAATTTAATGTAAAATTCAACCACAAACGTTTCGCAAAAAGTTTTAAAATGTTCTCAAAACTAAACCGCCATTCATCGATAAACTTTGAGTTTTAAATAAAATTATTTCAAATTCTCGGAAGAAAATAACTTTGCTTTCCCCTTTATTTAAAAAAATAATAATAAAATAAAAAAAGGTAATCAATAAAAATACAATGAAATTATATGCTGCCTTTTTCATTGTGCGCAACGATCAGTTTTTAAAGCAATTATAAAGCAAAAAGTAAATCAATATTTAAAACAAACTTACCTTCTTTAACGTCTGCATCTTTGCTCCCAGCGATTTATGGCCTTTAAAAGTCAAGCGAGATCGTAGTGTATTATCAAATTACGTAACTGTCTGAACAGAAATATACTGTAAACTAGCCATACCTTTCGCTGAACATAACTTTGGCCCCTTTGGGCGAATCTTCTTTGTTCGAATCATTATCAATATGTAGAGTGTTATTTTCGAGCTTGTATCTTCATATTTGCATCTTTTATTACGGTATTTCCATTTCCGGTCAGGCTGTGAGCTAATCCCAACCCGGCCAGAAATGCAATTTTAAAACATCAAAACAATGCGACGTTTGTGCTATGACTCTGGAATTTGCAGAAATCGTCCAATCGATACCAAAGGTCAAAATGCACTTTGTTTGTTACTTTATCTTGCACTTCAGCATTTTGAAAACAATGGAGCAAGATGTATATGAGGCAGCCAGAGGCGCCCTCTTTGACATCATGTGTCATTCAGCTATGTGCACATTGTGCCTTATGGTTACATGTAACATATTTGTGTGCATATTTTGATCAGAATAAATAATCTGTGTAGAATATGACAAACATGTCACCCTCACTTCATTCTAATACATTGTGACACACGAATCTCACGAGACTCATAGGCGAAGGAAGTAATTCATATAAACGTATTTTTCGAAAAGGTGTACTGTACAATTTCTCAACAATATCTCTTTCTTCAAAGATCAACCACTACAAAGTACATGTATACATCACTTTAATTTTCAAAAATAACGCGCACATTTTCCCACAAAAGCGCACAGTATATTTACATCATAATAAGCAAAATGAGCTGGTAATCAAGTCGCTAACCTCCAACTACAACCAAACTCTCTTTCCAAGTATTGCAAAATCGTGGCGTTCAATTTCAATTTTCTCACCCTTCCTTTAATCCTATCATACAAATCTATAATATTTGGTTAATAATAAGGCTTTTTACTCCGTAAAATATACATTTCTTCAATTATTTGCCATAGTTTTACTGAATTAGTTACCGTCAGAAACACCCTCTGGTAAATCCGCCATATTGTTTACCCCGTAATGCATCATGGTCTATGCTCACCAAAAAATTATTTCAAAAACTAAATTTTTCAATAAACATTTTGTGCAAATTGCAAACATGATTTTCAACAAAAATTTTTAAGAAAAACAAACACAAAAATAAAAAGTTGAAACAATAAAATAAAAAGTTGAAATACTAAATTAAAAAGTTGAAACACTAAAATAAATAATAAAAAGTTGAAGGACTAAAATAAAAAGTTGAAACACTCTGAAAATAAAAGGTTGAAACACTAAAATAAAAAGTTGAAATACTAAAATAAAAAGTTGAAGCACTAAAATAAAAAATAAAAAGTTAAAGCACTAAAATGAAAAGTTCAAACACTAAAATAAAAAGTTGAAACACTAAAATAAAAAGTTGAAACACTAAAATAAAAAGTTGAAACACTAAAATGAAAAGTTGAAACACTAAAATAAAAAGTTGAAATACTAAAATAAAAAGTGGAAGCACTAAAATAAAAAATAAAATTTAAAGCACTAAAATGAAAAGTTAAAGCACTAAAATGAAAAGTTGAAACACTAAAACAAAAAGTTGAAACACTAAAGTAAAAAGTTGATACACTAAAATAAAAAGTTGAAGCTAAAATAAAAAGTTGAAACACAAAAATAAAAAGTTGAAACACAAAAATAAAAAGTTGAAACACAAAAGTAAAAAGTTGAAACACTAAAATAAAAAGTTCATTTGAGCCTCCTGGGCCTCCATAACCTATATTCTACCTATCAATAGTTAGATACATAACACAAACCATAGACTCCACACATTTCACGACATGGTTTTCTTTCAAGCTAGATCCTGTGAGTATGTACATAATCTAACTGCATATATACAGTACTTATTAAATACTAAGGAATGAACTTACAACACTCGCATAGCCTTAACCACATATGGATGGACAGATATACGAAATTACTATACACAGTGTGAAACAAGGACTAAATTTATAATATCTCACTGCATGGTCTACTTTCCAGACCCTGTGAAGATAGTTTTGAGGAAACCACTTACTCATATGAGATGCAGGAAAATTACACAACACAAAATCACAAGCGACTGTGCAAGTATCACACAACACAAAATCACAAGCGACTGTGCAAGTGTCACAATTTGCAATATCGCAGTATGGTCAAATCCGACCCTGTGATAAATGCGCATCATCAAATCACACCTATCAATTACTAAATAATAACTTCACATACGGTAAATGCATGCTACAATCCTGGCAAAAATTATGTGGACACCTAACGTTTGTAAGGTTAATATTAACATTGAGACGTTCTTTCATGAAATTTGTCGCCCCCTGCCCCCTATTCAATGTTGTTTCTCGCATTCAAATTTTAAAAGTTTCATTTACCAACATTGAATTGGGGGTAGGAGGGGGAGAAATTTTCTGGCGGATTAATAATGTAGAAATAGATCTATTTTTGTTTGACGCACTCGCTGTCCACGATAATTTTTGCCTGGATTGTCTGAAATTATCACATATTTCCAACCGTTCGATTTCATGAATTTAAGGCTCGATCCAATGATAAAATAGGCATGTTTGTTTAGCAAAAGGAGCAAACAATTAGTAAATCAGGTTATATTTAGTTTTTTTTCTTTCCGATCTATGTTAAGTGTCACCTATCACATTACATGTCAAGTGGCCTTTTACGTGTTATCGGGATTAATTATACAATTACAACTTAGTCTGCAACTCTAAAAAGAAATATATTCGTATAACAAAGTATTGAACATTGTGGAGAACGACGATGTCTTATAGTACTTAGTCAGACAGTGCAAAATGTTCAGCCAAAAAATGCGAGGTTTGTTTACCTCATAACTTAGAGCTAAACAGATCTATCTTTAGTTCCTGAGCGTGAATCATTTGCATTATTGGTAATACATGCATTTCATAATGCAGATCCTTTGTTAGCCTGCAACATTTTGCAATGAGTTTGCAGCATGGAGCATCATATTCCCGTGTATTCATACAATATAACTGTATAAAACAGTACAAATGTGTGTGTAATGTTATTTGGAAAGTTTAGTAAATTGATACGGTACACGGCTGTGCAGCGTAACCAAATTCACACTAAATATAACAGACTATAGGGTTATTTTAGTGTATAAGCATCCGAAGCGCTCACTATTTTCAGATCTTTTATAACAAACGCAGCCCAACAGCGACTGTAGGGCGCCCGACTGTAGGGCGCAGTGACGTCACACGGTACACGGCTGTGTAGCGTAGAGTAAAGAATACATAGCTTAAATATTTTAATCACCACGCTACACAGCCGTGTACCGTGTGACGTCACTGTTAGATTAAAGGCGCTCTACAGTCGCCGTTGGGCTGCGTTTGTTATAAAAAATCTGAAAATAGTGAGCGCTTCGTATGCGTATACACTAAATGAGCTCTATAGTCTGATATATTTAGTGAGAATTTGGTTCCGCACTTAAAGTACTTTTGTTGAAAACTCGTCTTACTGCGTCTTCATAATTAGTCCAGCAAAGCGTATATCATGCCCAAAAGCCGCTCACCTACAAAATTATAAATATGCTTTAAAAAAACAATTAAACCAGTTTAAACAATCTGTTTGTTACCCTAAAGCAATGGCAGCATAAAAAAATTATAGTTAAAGGCTTGCTTTGGGTGACAATTATCGATATTTTTTTTAGGTCATTTTCAGACAATCCTGGCAAAAATTATGTGGACACCTAACGTTTGTAAGGTTAATATTAACATTGAGACGTTCTTTCATGAAATTTGTCGCCCCCTGCCCCCTATTCAATGTTGTTTCTCGCATTCAAATTTTAAAAGTTTCATTTACCAACATTGAATTGGGGGTAGGAGGGGGAGAAATTTTCTGGCGGATTAATAATGTAGAAATAGATCTATTTTTGTTTGACGCACTCGCTGTCCACGATAATTTTTGCCTGGATTGTAGCTTCAATCACGATATTTCTACAATGGATTGACATATATAAGACATAATACAGCGCACCGGTATACACGTGCACCTCTTATACGGTGTTTCACAGCATGGTCTACTTTCAAGACCCCGTTGAAAATATAAGAAATCCATTAGATATATAATGAACATAAATAAACCATATGTCCAAGACGTATGTAGAGATCCTATTAACTATCCAAAATTAAAATATACGAACTACACAGTACGTTAATAAGAAAGACCAAGTTTACAATATCTCACTGCATGGCCTACTTTCTAGACCATGTGAAGATATATTTAAGAAAACCATTCACTCAAATGAGATAAAGGAAAACTACACAACACAAAATCACAAGGGACTGTGCTAATCTTATTACCAATTCCTAATTTGCAATATCGCGGTATGGTCAAATCCGACCCTGTGATAAATGCACGTCATCACATCACACCTATCAAATACTAAGTAATAACTTTATATACAGTAAATGATAACTTCAATTACGATATTTCTACAATGGATTCACATATAAAGACATAATACAGCGCACTGTTATACACGTGCACCTCTTATACGGGGTTTCACGGCATGGTCTGCTTTCAAGACCCCGTTGAAAATATAAGAAATCCATTAGATATATAATGAATATAAGTAAACCACAGATCCAAGACGCACGTAAAGGTCCTATTACCTATTCCAAAATTAAAATAAAGAGTCCCAAGTGGTCCACCTAAAAGCATTTGGTTGCGAAATATCAGGAGGGACAACCCGCGCAAGTTGAACAACTCATTTGAATGTAGTGTTCACTTAATTTACACCTGATTGCTTTATTTCCGCTACAGAAATATGTGGTAGAAAAAAGCCGAAAATGTTAAAACCAACAGCAATTCCAACACTGTTTGAATAATACACGAAGAAGAAACTCCCTCCACGCGCGTCTAGTTCAAGGCAAATTCCTGAAAGAGAGGCCGTCAATTTAATGTTTGTTACGAGGCTTTATAATTTAGGTAGTGAATCGTTATAACTTTTCTAATTATTGTCACTAATGTTAATATTGGAATAGTTCTGCTTCAAAGTTCTCTTCTTTCTTCAGCCTTTCTTTGTACATTTGTTTCGTTTTGAGCTTTCTACAACTTTTCACACATGATTTTTACTTCGTTGAGTCCACTCGATAGTCCACTGAGAGTCTACTACTCGACTATCGTCCACTGAGAGTCTACTGACGAATTTCGGTTGTGCACACCCTTTTATACTAACGGTTGAAGGGATCTATGCAGTGGCGTAACTACTATGGGCTCAGACCGGGAGAACCCGGGGGCCCCCAACCCCAATGGGCCAAATGGGGCCCCCCAGACTCAGGCTGTAGAGCAAATACATTGGCCAGGGCCTCCGATATGTTACAATGTCGTTTTCTGACCATCAGAATTCTGTAAAATCTCTCCCCAAAGTCTGGGAAATGGCATTTCAGAGAGTCTAGATTCAAAAATTTTCCGGAAAACTCGTGCATATACGGCGCTCAACTCGTGCATTCGGCATTTCTACTATGGGGGGGGGAACTTCGAAAATTTTGAACCGGGGGCCCCGTGATATAACGTTACGCCACTCGACCTATGTACACGTGATCTAGTAAGTGGTGTGATTTGTATCCAGCCAATGAACGTTGAGTTATAAAAGTGTGAGATGGCGTTGCTAGCTCGTTCCAGCTCTCACATTCTGTTTATTTAAGGCGTTGTCGCACTGGTCGAGTCGATTCGCTGTTCAATCGATCAATGTTAAAATATGTCCACAACTTAAAATACTTATCAAAATATCATAATAAAATCTTCAACGTATACCTATGTGAACCTTACTTTACCTACTAAACTAAATTCAGTTAACTGTGAAAGGGCATTTAGCAAGTTGAAACAAATAAAAACTAGATTAAAACCAAGTTAGCGAATGATAAGTTGGAAGCTGTAATGCTAATGACAAGCGAGAAAGACTTGCTTGATAACATTACTGTACATGACATATACTGAAATTCGTGATCTAAACAAGCGCTTGGATGAGTTTGAAAAGACTCTGTCCTTCTTTTCCGAACAGTATGACCAGTTAATAAAGATTACACAGACAACTAAGAAACAAATGCAGCAAATTGAAAGCAAAATCGAAGACCAGAGTAAAACAATAAACGTATTAAAGAACAACGACTATGATAATATGGCCGCCATTGACGAAATTCAACAATACCAAAGGCGTGATTGTCTGGAAATTACAGGTATACCTACATTACCCAACGACAAGCCGAAAAATATTGTTATGGAACTTGGAACAACCTTAGGCGTTTTACTGAACGAAAATGACATATCTACGGCGCATATTAGACTTCCCCCTACGAGAAAAATTCAAGACCGCATTATTGTCAAGTTCGTACGCCGCGACATACGAGAAGAAATTTATAAGAAGAGGAAAGTTTTAAATGGAAAACTGACAGATTGCCTTGCCGCAGAAATAGGCAAGAGTATCTCTCAACCCACAAAAATATTCATGAATCTTTGACGGCTTACAGAAAGCGTTACAGAATTCAATGAATCTTTGACGGCTTACAGAAAGCGTTTCTTTGGAAAAATCCACGACTATCGTAGACAGCATAACTATAAATTTATATGGACTGCAAACGGGAAAATTCTCCTTCGCCATACAGAATCGTCGCCAGTTAACAGCTTTACAACAGAAGAAGAGTTTCAGAGGTTTACTTCTAAGGACTAAACAATAATTCGTGATTATTTTTAGACACAAACTGTATGTGTAGCGATGGATGAACAAGACTGTGAGTTATCTAATTTACCATTTAATTACCTATCAGATACTGAATTTAATGCCCTCACTGGTAATTGGCACGTTGTCTTTAGCAGTGATTCTGATATATATAATGTCCTACAAAATCCAGACAAATGTGATGAAAATAATTCAGACCTTATGTTAAATACCCCTAATTCAAATTATTACTCTATGACTAAACTTAATCAGCTTTTAAATAAGTCACGTCATGATAGTATATCATTATTTCACTTTAATGTTAGAAGTCTCCCTAAAAACGTATCTATATATTGAATGATTTCCTCTACACTCTTGATAGCAGGCCTGATATCCTAGCTATAAGGGAAACTAAATTAAACCATAATAAT